ATACTTCTTGTAATGGGCATTTTCACTCAATGCCCCGGTCACACTTTGGCTCAGTGCGACGGTGACTTCCATGAATACTTTCGTTGATACTTTTACTGCTGGGGAGGGGCCTTGCCAATACGGAGGCGGGGGAGAGTGGCTGGATCTCATAATATGATACTGTAAGTGAAGGGGGAGCTCTGACTTTCTCGGTGTCACTCTCTCACTGCTGGTAAGCGTCTTGAAGTTTCTTCACTTGTACTTTTCTTCCATAGATGCTATATATTTTTTTCTTCTATTTTTTTTCTTCTTTCTCTTCGGTAAAGTGTCGGCGTGGATTGATCCCACCGCTGCCACCACTGACGTAGGGGATTTATCTTCCCATCTAATGACACCAATTTGTAAGATAGTATCCCACCGAGTGTCACCACTGACGTAGGGGATTTTCCTTCCTACGTTATATAATTATAATTATGGTAGCGTGGTTGGTGAAAGACATCTTCCTTATATTACTTTTATTCTTATTTTAACATCTATGTACTCAGAGCTCCTATTACTACAGTTCCTGTCACGACTAATTCCTGAGTCCCACCCTCAAAAGGGGGAGGCTAACTCAGCTGTACTGTGTTAACTCTGCTGCTGGCAAGGCCCGGTCTCTAACTCAACTCACTGTGCCTGCCCTGGGTGGTTCTTGAAATACCCTAAGGGCAGGGCGTGTCTTGACATCCAGTCCTGCAAATCAACTCCAGGTTCGAAGTGGAGTCCCGCCTATTTTGGGGAGGGGCTATTCCAACGAGCCTATTGCAAAGGAGTGGGTGGTAATCGCCTATTGCCATTGGGTATCTCCCCCGGGCATGTACTTCACATTTAGGACAAGTGTTCCTGTGTGGTATGGGGAATAAAGGACTTGTTTATATCTCACACCCTCTTGAGATATTTGATACGCCAGATGCCGAGTCCCACGGGACCAGCTATATATCTTACCATAGGCCTCATCCTATTACACACTGGAGAGAGTGTTCAATGTTTCCTTTGACACCTAGCCAAAAGTCCTACGACAAGCAGTAGGCTATATATTGGTCTTGCTATATAAGATTTCTTCACCAACCTTAAGCTTGGGTGTCCCAGGTGTCGCTGTATAAGATTCCCACCTCAACCTTTGTGTGATTTTCAAGTCTCTCTTCATATGATTCCTATACCAGGCTTTGTTTTGTTTTACATTAGTATTTTTCTGTATAAAATTTCAACACCACCTTTTTATGGGTTGTCGGGTTTCGTATATAAGATTCCTACGTAAACCTTTTACATGGGTGTCCAGTTTCTTGATATATTCCTAAAGCAATCTTTGCGTGGACTTCCCGGTTCTAGCTATATATGATTTCCTCAACAACCTTTGTGTAGGTTTCCCAAGTCTCGCTATATAAAATTCCTACAGCAACCTCTGCATCAAGTTTCTAAAACCAACCCCTTCATAGGTTTCCGAGTCCCACTACATAGGACTCCTACACCAACCTTTGCATGGGTTTCTCGGGTCTCGCTATATAAGATTTTCCACTTAAACTTGGATTTCCGGGTTTGCAATATGAATATAGATTACAATAAAGGAATCGTAGATAAATTTTTTTAGGAAATTTTTATAATTCTTAATCCCAAATTTTCGAAACAGTTGGGACTCCTCTCTCTCTCTCTCCTCTCTCTCTCTCTCATTGGTTGGTGGCCATTAATTATATTGAATTATACATATATTTTCTGTATGTTGCTATATAATTCTGTTTGTGCATTCTGCGTTTCTCTGAGCTTTACTTTTGCATATAATGTACTCTGTGCTGCCATTCTGTGAGTTGTGTGTTAGTATGCAGCAATGTTTTATCAATATGTACACCTCCCTGTAAACCATGTTCAATTCTTTGTTTTATATCCATTTGAAGCATTATTTGTATGAACTCATGTAATGTCTGACGCCTTGGCGCAATAAATTAATAAAATAAATAAATAATCTCTCATTGGTACATTATTCACACTTAATCATTTACTATTGAGCTTGTCTATCATTCTTCGTGGTCTTCAGTGTGCATATGTGTATGGATGGATAGATGGATGGATGGATGTAACGTTTATATGGGCGAACTTGAAGGGGGAACACAATAGATGCATAGGGGAGGAGAGAGAGAGAGAGAGAGAGAATCGTATGTATGGATCATACACACGGTTGAAATATAAAGGGGAACCAAAAGATGTATAGGGGGGAGAGAGAGAGAGAGGAGAGAGGGAGAGAGAGAGAGAGAGAGAGAGAGAATCTGAGCATGCTAGCCAAAGACAGCCTAGCAACTAAACGGACTCAGAGCTATGGTGTTGAAGGGGGGGGGGGAAAGAGGGAGTTAGAATAGGGAGGGATTGCACAACTCTCCCTCCTTCTCTCTCTCCCTAATCACCATTTCGTCCCCTACTTTCCCACCATCATCGTCCTGCCTCTGCAGACGGCGGTCACACTCGCAAAGAACGTTTTATTTTATTTTTTTCTATCAACTATTTGAATAATCACCCTTACCTGAGTAGGCCAATGTGACTATTCTGCTTTTAATGAAAAGTCAACTTGTAACAACACGTTTAGAGTAGTCCTAGTTACTACTCTGTTAGTTACGAACTTGTACTCTGATCTGAACAGTATGTTACTATCTCTGAGTAGCCCCACAACTACTGCGAGTTTCAAATTCTTAATGTAAAACGCCCTCAGAGTTGTCCATGGGACTACTCAGGTGATTAATGACTCGTAAAATAAGCTCAGAGTAGTGGATAAAACTGTTCAGCACATTATGAACTGAATATTAATTCTTAAGTTTTCACGTTATTCTGCTGAAAATTGCTGGATCGAGTTCGATCGAGTGTCTAGTGTGACCTTTACTTTTAACACAATCCCTAGAATTGAGGTTTAGTGAATTTTGGACAATGCTTTCATTATTCTTACCAATAAAAAAAATAATAAAAATAAAAAATAGTTATGCATTGTAAGAAATCTTGAAATATCAAATCTTTATATTATATTTTAATGATTGTCATATTTATAATTTATGAAATATTTATCGTATTCAACAGTTCGTTATTATTACTTTTCATAACTGAGAAAAAGCGAAAATAACAGTATTTTTTTTTTTATGGAAGTTTGCCTAAATCTCCTCGCTTGTCTGTCTAAGCTCAGCCCCTCTGTAGACAGTTTCTGGTTAAATGATTTAAGACCATTTTTGCTCTTGGCATAATGCCGAGAATTGGTGATTCTCAATGCAAGTGGTCCAAGAGCCAACAAATTCCCCATATTTAATAATTATAAAATTATTATTATTATTATTATCATTATTATTATTATTTTTTCATACTATGAGGATTAGAACCTTGGAAAATTATAGAACAGGCATCACTACACTTATTCAATTAAGTCTTTTTTGACTCACGTTCTACAGGTCTCAAGTTCGAATCCCTGGTAAGGAGATAGAATACTTATAAGGGTAATAATAAATACATAGATTGAATGATATGTTGTAAACAGTATAGTGAATTTTAGATATTTATTTATTTTTCAGATTTACAAATCTCTCCTCTCGCAAACAAATAAACTAAGACAAAATATTTCCCCCTAAAGCAGAAGGCTTATGATAATTGGCAGCGTTTTTTTTTTTACACCACTCACGTCACACGCTGTTTTTGCAATTGCTAGTGTGAAAGACATATCTTAAGAAATGGTGTAAAGAGAGATTTGCATTGGGCCAGACGGCGTCAGACCCTATGTTAGACTCCCCTACATGACAAGAAAGAGTCTTACGTAACGTTCAAAAAGCACAACGCCATCTGTTCTATGCATGCGCACGTGCTGGGAATATTTTTTTGTACGTAAGTTATGCATATATGTATTATAGCCTTTCTTGTATGTATCTTTTATCAGTATAACTGCATAAGATTCATGCAATAGTGTTGTGGACTGTTCCTATTGTTATATATACATCTAAACCCAAGTCAAATGAATTCTAACTTTTTAGGATATATTTTTACACACCGCGTTCTCAAAATTGTGTTTACAAGTACAGTATATCTTAAAAACCACAGATTTCTGTGCATTGGAGGAATTGACAAGGTAGATGAATTCAAAAATATCTGTACAGAAGTTAAAGGTGGACTCTCTTTCTCCTGTGCCCATAGTATGGTGTTACAGGGTTACAATACACTCTCTCTCTCTCTCTCTCTCTCTCTCTCTCTCTCTCATTGTCACTTATGTAGTGAGGATGCTACCACCTGCAGTGTTCGTGAGAGAATGAAAATTCTTAGACAAGTTTTTTTTTATAATTTTTATATTGTTTAACTGCTTCGATCAGATGATTCTCTCGCCAGTAAAATTACAAAGCAAGATATTTCTCGTTTCAACAGGCATGAAACTCACTCCGAGATAATAATTCTCTTGGGATTAGAGATGTGACCGAATTCTTCATTCAATCATTTATCTCTTTGTGTAATATTATTACTCAGAATTCCTTCATTCTAATACTGCACTTGCTTGACTGACTGTGAAGTGCCAATCTTATGGTTTTCATACGTGAATAATGCGGTTTAGCAAATTCCATAGTCCAATCTTTTTTAGGTCATGGTTGAAATTCACCCTCTCGTGTCCCACTTCTGGCAAATGGCCACGAGAAACTCCTGAGAGGGTTTGTATTCTTTTCTGTTAGACCACTCGCGTGTTTCTCTTGACTTGTTTTTGCTCACTGGGCTATAAGGATTTAGTAAAAAGACACAAAGTAACTGAAATGTATAATTATTGCGGTGAGCCTAGACACCAAAGAATTCTCTCGATTACAGATTACCTCTTGTGGTCGTTTTTTTTAATGGTAATATTTTACACATTGAAGCCTTGGCACTTTTTTTCCTTGACCTTAATGGTTTAGATCTGGACAGAGTAAAATGTTTTATCGTCTCTTGACCTTGACCTTTTAAGTGTAATTTGGAAGTTTTCTTCCAATGCTAATGAACCCAAAGGTGCCTCGCCTTGGCCGAGTGGGAGCGCTCGCGACTTTGATTCGTAAGGTCGTGGGTTCAAGACCCGCCACGGTCTGAGGCTAGAAGGAGCATTCACTCAGGGTAGCGGTGTCACTTGCCAAAACCAAAGTCCTTCTCTTGAAGGCACCGTCCTAACCCTCAATCGAGAAGGGAGTCCGTGACGTAAAACCGATCACAAGTTGTAAGGGACTATTTTCTTTGTTATTTGCTATTTTGTCACTGTTAATACCCTATTGTAATGGGGATGGACAGATAGGTTGAAACCGAGGCATTAATACTGGATGCCCTTCTTAACGCCCCGCGGAGGGCTCGAACAGGGGTCTCACTTCCTGAGTTGAGCGCTCTAACCACTGGGCTTTTACGGTCCCCACAAGTTATATAGTATCCATAATCTGTGTTTTCTCTAAGTAAACCTTGAATGGATTAATTCAAATTCAATAAGTTTAGTTTCATTGTTACAATGGTCATTATGTCACAAACCTTAGACATACGATGAATAAACAAGTAAGGAAGAATTGTATGGCAAAAATCAATTCAAAATCTCTTATTGAAACTTTAAGTTACAATTGTGTCAACGAGTTGGGTAAATTTAATTTTTTTTTTTCATATATAATTTCTCACCACGTTGTTGTAGCATAATGCGAAGAGGAGCAGGTGGGGGCAACACATTAAACATGAATTGCAAACGATACCGATATATTTGACCGGTAACAATACCTTTCTTGAAACCAGTTACCGATATCTTACCTAGCAACGAAATGCCGTTGTCTCGATAGCCAGTATTTATAATGATTGTAGTTAACTGAATTTGCTGAAGTTTTAGTGCAAGTTTGTTTATTCTTCTTCCTCTTCTTCAAATAGGTAGCTGATATTTTATAAATTTTTTGTATATTTCTTCTTCTGATACTTCATAAAATGTTCCTATAAGTTTGTTTATATGTGTGTATCTTTTTCTACTGCTACTACTACTACCACTTTCACTTTGCGACATGCGCTACTATCTATGCTAGCATAGACACTATTTATAAAATACAAGTTAATGTTTTCCGGGAAATCATTAGCGCTTAAAGTGTAGTTGTCCGCTTTAATGAGCCATTCTGTTTACATCGTTGGTTAAACACAGATATAACCCATAGGCCCGATTTCTTAAACAGTGTAAACCTAGGATACCATATTGTTAGTTAGCTAGACACACAAATGGATTTCATAAACGCATCTGACGCGGTTCTGTGTATGGCTAGGAACTCGTACGGGATCCTAACTATTCACAGAACCGCGTCAGATCCGTTTATGATATCCAATTGTGTCTAGCTAACCAGCAATATGGTATCCTAGGTTTACACTGTTCAAGAAATCGGGGCCTAGACTTTTAACGAATGCATACTTTTATCAGACATAACTATAACTGGTGTTTGTTTAAAAAAAAATCCAAATGTTAATATGGTTACTCTGTATGTAAATGTTATAAGATTGTTTATATATTTGTTTCAATAATATGATTAAACAATATCTCCAGTAATAATCATGAACATGGGCCTACACGTAAATACTTTCGTTTTTTATTATTATTATTATTGTTTTGTTATTACAGAGGTTCTCCGCATATTATTGTAAATGGTTTAACACTTTTAAGGAGTGATAAATATTAGAACATATAGATAAATATAGATGGATAGATAGATAGATTGAGAGATATAGTAAGAAACCAGGAATTGTAGCAAACGAAATAAGGAAAATGTATCTGTAATTTATATATATTTCTATAAAGATAAGAAAATAAGAGAAATGTTGTATGTTAAGTGTTCAGATGCACTCAGCGCGTGATCAGCTGTTTGTGAAAATATATCTCGCCTTAGACGCAACACGAGGGTCGATTCCCATGCCTTGGTGATAAACAGAGGTCAAGGTCATGGTAACTGATGCATTTTTTTTTTTTTTTTAAAGGAACTTTAAGCTTCTTCGTTTCGGATCGGAATTTGAAAATTGTATATAGGGAAAGAGAATTTGTATATTTGGGTTCTATATAGATATTTAAATATATAGAAAATCAAGGTAAAACGTTATAGCAGGCTCTTAACTAGGCTATGTATCAATTAGCATTTTTTTTTTCTTCCGAAAATCAACATCAGATTTATTTTTACGCTACAAATAAGTTATGGTAAAAAAAAAACTCGTTCTTTATGTTGAATATATATTATTTGCTTATAGCTATGCAACTTTACGTGTTATATTTTGTTATTACAAAGGATTTTTACCCAAAATAATTGTATGAATTTCATAATCGCAAACATCAGAGTAAAAATTATATAAATATGTAAAATATATAAGATCTTAGCATTATTTTGTTCTCTGAGCACAGACAAAGCAGATATATATGTTTTCATTATTTTTGCCTCTTTTTTTTTTTATTAGCGTCTTTTCACATATGCATTTATTGAAAAAAACAATATAAGAATAAGAAAAAAGAAAAAAACTCGATGTTAGTGTAAAATTCAAAGTGTGAAAGGATAATGTAAGGCATATTTTGGCCATTTTCTAGTGTGAACCATTTAAATGAAAATGGAAGGCGTATTTAGGCTATGTGAGAATGTGGAAACTGCTAAGTATGAAAAATTAACAGAAAATTTGTAGTATTTTCGCTGTATACTAGAGGGAAAATACAAAGTAAAACCAAAAATATAAGGATAGATTGCTTTGGCAAAATGCGAGTGAAAACGCAATGTAAGACAGAAAAAAATGGAAGGAGTGATTTGTCTAATTGCGGGAGTGAAAAACGCAAAGTAAGAATGAAAGAAATTTTGTTTTTCTAAATTCCAGAGTGAAAACGCAAAGTAAGACTGAAAGAAAGAAAAATGGGAGGAGTATTTTGTCTAAGTGGTAGTGAAAACGCAAAATAAGACAAAAAGAGAAAAATGGAAGGAGTGTTATGTCTGAGAGCAAGAGTGAAAACGCAAAATAAGACTGAAAGAAATAAAAAAAAAATGGAAGGAGCGACTTGGGCATAAATCAAGTTGATAAGAATGCGGTGTTGTGACATGCTAAAACCATACTTGTTTTTCCTTTATCACTGATTATTCCTCGCTGTCAAACGGATTGACATTTATAGGGGTTAGAGAACTACCTATACGCTTTTCGATGGCAGTGGGTCTTGTAGGAATAAATTTCTCTTTTCATTTTTTACTCTTTAGATTTTATTTACATTTCTGTGTAAGCCATTACATAACTGAATCTTCGACACATATGTATATAGGCTAAGGTCTAGTAAATACCTCATTTTATATATTTCATTGTAAACTATCTTGTCTATATGATATCTAGCTTAAACCTAGATATCTTATAGCTCCTTTTGCCCTTTTTTCTATAGATTTCATTATATTTCTTCGTAAACTATCTTCGATACATAAGTAGTTAGACGTAGACCTATTTATCATAGCCAAATTGGCCTATCTTAATTGAATATTACTTAGGAATATGTTCTAGATCCTGGAACACAGTGTATTTTCTTGTAACACTGCGAAATATATTTGTAAAATATTTTAATACTAAGATTTCGACACAGATGCAAATAGGTGATGGCCTATTTATCATAGTTCATATGGCTTAACTGATTATAATTTAAACAGGCATGTGTTCCATATATTGGACCATATTGAAATTCATGTAACACTACAAAGTATAGAAGGATGTATGGTTGGATCCAGAGGATCTCTCAAACCCTTTCTCCCTTCCCTAAGGACTTTTTTTTCGGTAACTATTAAGAAATGACGGTTGGTGTACCCCAAGGATCTCTTATGTGACCATGGATTCTCTCTCTCTCCCTCTCTGATGATGTAATCATTTATCCATAAGCTCTCTCTCTCTCTCTCTCTCTCCTCTCTCTCTCTCTCTCTCTCTCTCTCTCTCTCTCTCTCTCTCTCTCAATAAAACGCAATTGACTGTTGTCCACTAAATCCTTTCCTGTTATCTTGTATAAAAAATAATTTTATTTTTATTTTACTTTAGTAGTTTTTATACATTTTTTTCTGAGCATCTTGATATAAGTTTTAGATATGAATTCTAGATATTTTTTTTTACTGACATACTATCAGCACATTTTTTTTTTCATCATGGTATTATTAAATATTTTTTAAGAATAAGCAGTCAGCTAGAAATTTTTTTTTATTTGATTTAATAAATTTACCTTATTTAAATTAATTTTAATTTGACTTATGGATTGTTTAAAGATTTTTTTTTATTAGAATTCCTTTCTTAATCTCAATAATAATAATAATAATAATAATAATAATAATAATAATAAGAAGAAGAAGAAGAAGAAGAAGAAGAATCTATCTATATACATGAGCCATTTTCACCTTATAAGGGGAGTGGCTGAGTCAAGACAAAATATTTGACATTTGGGAAGAAAAAATAGAGGAGGCGATTCCTAGTCTCCTCACTTCGCTCCATTAAGTCGACTCTTACGACAGGCAGGGGAACACGGAGGAAGTATTCTAGCCTCCTCCCTCATAATAATAATAATAATAATAATAATAATAAAGACACTATAAATCTTCAGATGCCACCACTCTCCTACATATGCTAAGTCACCTTTGATTGTATTGAGTGATGGAGAGCAGGGACAACGTGGTTCGGGGAGGGGGGGGGGGCATTGAATTCAAGTTCATGAAGAACGTTCAGTAACCTTCAAATAAATATACGTTGTATAGTACTTGCGGTCTGAAATTACCTGGTATTTCTTTCAACATCGATAAAGTTTGTATATCCATTCCTCCGTCATTTACTATAATAGTGTGTGTGTTTGAGTGTATATATAGATAGATATATATATATATATATATATATATATATATATATATATATATATATATATATATATATATATATATATATATATATATATATATATATCTGAAGGGTCTTCTGGACTTAAATAAGACTGTCCTGGACAGTTCGATGTTAAGTCTTCCTTCAGTTACGGTTCTGTTTCTATGCCTACATCAACACCGAATATCTTGGATATTCGTTACACATGTCTTATTATCGCTTTGCATCTGACAAGCC